AGGCCCAGGCTCTAGGCCTAGACCCAGGCTCTAGCCCCAGGTTCTAGGCCCAGGCTCTAGCCCCAGGCTCTAGGCCTAGGCCCAGGCTCTAGCTCCAGGCTCTAGGCCTAGCCCCCAGGATCTAGGCCCCAGGCTCTAGGCCCCAGGCTCTAGGCCCAGGCTCTAGGCCCAGGCTCGAGGCCTAGGCCCAGCTCTAGGCTCTAGCCCCAGGCTCTAGGCCTAGCCCCAGGCTCTAGGCCGCAGGCTCTAGGCCCCAGGCTCTAGGCCCCAGGCTCTAGGCCTAGGCCCCAGGCTCTAGCCCCCAGGCTCTAGCCCCAGGCTCTAGGCCCAGGCTCTAGCCCCAGGCTCTAGGCCTAGGCCCAGGCTCTAGCTCCAGGCTCTAGGCCTAGCCCCCAGGATCTAGGCCCCAGGCTCTAGGCCCCAGGCTCTAGGCCCAGGCTCTAGGCCCAGGCTCGAGGCCCAGGCTCGAGGCCTAGGCCCAGGCCTAGGCTCTAGGCCTAGGCCCAGGCTCTAGGCCCAGGCTCTAGCCCCAAGCTCTAGGCCCAGGCCCAGGCTCTAGGCCTAGGCCCAGGCTCTAGGCCCAGGCTCTAGGCCCAGGCTCTAGGCCCCAGGCTCTAGGCCCTAGGCTCTTGGCCCCAGGCTCTAGGCCCTAGGCTATAGGCCCAGGCTCTAGGCCCTAAGCTCTAGGCCTAGGCCCAGGCCTAGGCTCTAGGACTAGGCCCAGGCTCTAGGCCTAGGCTCTAGCCCCAAGCTCTAGACCCAGGCTCTAGGCCTAGGCCCAGGCTCTAGGCCCAGGCTCTAGGCCCAGGCTCTAGGCCTAGGCCCAGGCCCAGGCCCAGGCTCTAGGCCTAGGCCCAGGCTCTAGACCCAGGCCCAGGCTCTAGACCCAAGCTCTAAGCTCTAGCCCCCAGGCTCTAGCCCCCAGGCTCTAGGCCCAGGCTCTAGGCCCAGGCTCTAGGCCCTAGGCCCAGGCTCTAGGCCCAGGCTCTAGGCCCAGGCTCTAGGCCCAGGCCCAGGCTCTAGGCCTAGGCCCAGGCTCTAGGCCCAGGCTCTAGGCCTAGGCCCAGGCTCTAGGCCTAGGCCCATGCTCTAGGCCCAGGCTCTAGGCCTAGGCCCAGGCTCTAGGCCTAGGCCCAGGCTCTAGGCCTAGGCCAAGGCTCTAGCCCCAGGCTCTAGGCCCAGGCTCTAGCCCCAGGCTCTAGGCCTAGGCCCAGGCTCTAGCTCCAGGCTCTAGGCCTAGCCCCCAGGCTCTAGGCCCCAGGCTCTAGGCCCCAGGCTCTAGGCCCAGGCTCGAAGGCCTAGGCTCTAGGCCTAGGCCCAGGGCCTAGGCTCTAGGCCTAGGCCCAGGCTCTAGGCCCAGGCTCTAGCCCCAAGCTCTAGGCCCAGGCCCAGGCTCTAGGCCTAAGCCCAGGCTCTAGGCCCAGGCTCTAGGCCCCAGGCTCTAGGCTCAAGCTCTAGGCCCAGGCTCTAGGCCCTAGGCTCTTGGCCCCAGGCTCTAGGCCCAGGCTCTAGGCCCTAAGCTCTAGGCCTAGGCCCAGGCTCTAGGCCCAGGCTCTAGGCCCAGGCCCTAGCCCCAGGCTCTAGGTCCAAGCTCTAGGCCCAGGCTCTAGGCCCTAGGCTCTAGGTCCAGTCTCTAGGCCTAGGCCCAGGCTCTAGCCGCAGGCTCTAGGCCTAGGCCCAGGCTCTAGGCCCAGCCCCAGGCTCTAGGCCCAGGCACTAGCCACAGGCTCTAGGCCCAGGCTCTAGGCCTATGCCCAGGCTCTAGCCCCAGGCTCTAGGCCTATGCCCAGGCTCTAGCCCCAGGCTCTAGGCCCTGGCTCTAGGCCCTGGCTCTAGGCCCAGGCTCTAGGCCCAGGCTCTAGCCCCCGGCTCTAGCCCCAGGCTCTAGGCCCAGGCTCTAGGCCTAGGCTCTAGGACCAGGCTCTACGACCCACCCAGAGGTAGCAGCGCAGCGTGAGGCGGTGGCTGTCTCGTCGCTCCTTGTCCAGGCTCTAGGCCTATGCCCAGGCTCTAGCCCCAGGCTCTAGGCCCTGGCTCTAGGCCCAGGCTCTAGGCCCAGGCTCTAGGCCCAGGCTCTAGGCCCAGGCTCTAGGCCCAGGCTCTAGGCCCCAGGCTCAGGCTCTAGCCCCAGGCTCTAGCCCCAGGCTCTCGGCCCAGGCTCTCGGCCCAGGCTCTATGCCCAGGCTCTAGGCCCAGGCTCTAGGCCCAGGCTCTAGGCCCCAGGCTCTAGCCCCAGGCTCTAGGCCCAGGCTCTAGGCCCAGGCTCTAGGCCTAGGCCCAGGCTCTAGGCCCAGGCTCTAGGCCCAGGCCCAGGCTCTAGGCCCAGGCTCTAGGCCCAGGCTCTAGGCCCAGGCCCAGGCTCTAGGCCTAGGCCCAGGCTCTAGGCCCAGGCTCTAGGCCTAGGCCCAGGCTCTAGGCCTAGGCCCATGCTCTAGGCCTAGGCCCAGGCTCTAGGCCCAGGCTCTAGGCTCTAAGCCCAGGCTCTACGACCCACCCAGAGGTAGCAGCGCAGCGTGAGGCGGTGGCTGTCTCGCCGCTCCCTGTCCAGGCTCTAGGCCTATGCCCAGGCTCTAGGCCCAGGCTCTAGGCCCAGGCTTTAGGCCTAGGCCCAGGCTCTAGGCCCAGGCTCTAGGCCCAGGCTTTAGGCCTAGGCCCAGGCTCTAGGCCCAGGCTCTAGGTCCAGGCTCTAGGCCCCAGGCTCTAGGCCCAGGCTCTAGGCCTAGGCCCAGGCTCTAGGCCCAGGCTCTAGGCCCAGGCTTTAGGCCTAGGCCCAGGCTCTAGGCCCAGGCTCTAGGCCTAGGCCCAGGCTCTAGGCCCAGGCTCTAGGCCCAGGCTCTAGGCCTAGGCCCAGGCTCTAGGCCCAGGCTCTAGTCCCAGGCTCTAGGCCCCAGGCTCTAGGCCCCAGGCTCTAGGCCACAGGCTCTAGCCCCAGACTCTAAGCCCAGGCTCTACGACCCACCCAGAGGTAGCAGCGCAGCGTGAGGCGGTGGCTGTCTCGCCGCTCCCTGTCCAGGCTCTAGGCCTAGGCCCAGGCTCTAGGCCCAGGCTCTAGGCCCAGGCTCTAGGCCCAGGCTCTAGGCCCAGGCTCTAGGCCTAGGCCCAGGCTTTAGGCCCAGGCTCTAGGCCCAGGCCCAGGCTCTAGGCCCAGGCTCAGGCCCAGGCTCTAGGCCCAGGCTCTAGGCCTAGGCCCAGGCTCTAGGCCCAGGCTCTAGGCTCTAAGCCCAGGCTCTAGGACCCACCCAGAGGTAGCAGCGCAGCGTGAGGCGGTGGCTGTCTCGTCGCTCCCTGTCCAGGCCCCTGCGCAGGAAGAGGACCCGGCGGAGAAGGGCGAATGGGGAGCCACCCTCCTCGTCATCACCTACAACAACAACATCAACAACAACAACATCAACATCATCACCTACAACAACAACATCAACAACATCAACAACATCATCACCTACAACATCAACATCATCACCTACAACAACAACATCAACAACAACAACAACATCAACAACAACACCTACAACAACAACATCAACAACAACAACACCTACAACAACAACATCAACAACAACATCACCTACAACAACATCAACAACAACATCAACATCAACAACAACACCTACAACATCAACAACAACACCTACAACATCACCTACAACACCTACAACATCAACAACAACATCACCTACAACAACATCAACAACAACATCACCTACAACAACAACATCAACAACAACAACAACATCATCACCTACAACAACATCAACATCAACAACATCATCACCTACAACAACATCAACATCAACAACATCATCACCTACAACAACAACAACATCAACAACAACACCTACAACATCACCTACAACAACAACATCAACAACATCACCTACAACATCACCTACAACAACAACATCAACAACAACATCAACAACAACACCTACAACAACAACAACAACATCAACAACATCAACAACAACAACAACAACATCAACAACATCAACAACAACAACAACTACAACAACATCACCTACAACAACAACATCAACAACATCATCACCTACAACAACAACATCAACAACATCACCTACAACAACAACAACATCAACAACAACATCACCTACAACAACAACATCAACAACAACATCATCACCACCACCACCACCAACAACATCACCACCAAAAACAACATCATCACCTACAACAACAACAACATCATCACCTACAACAACAACATCACCACCACCAACAACATCACTAACATCAACAACATCACCACCAACAACAACACCACCACGAACATCAACATCATCACCACCACCAACAACAACATCATAATCACCTACAACATCACCACCACCACCACTAACATCAACAACAACACCACCACCATCAACAACATCACCACCACTAACATCAACAACATCACCACCACCAACAACAACACCACCACCACCAACAACATCACCTACAACAACAACATCACCTACAACAACAACATCAACAACATCACCTACAACATCAACAACTAGTACTACAACAACAACATCAACAACATCACCTACAACAACAACAACATCAACAACATCATCACCTACAACAACAACAACAACATCAACAACAACATCACCTACAACAACATCACCACCACCACCACCAACAACAACATCACCACCAAAAACAACATCACCATCAACAACATCATCACCTACAACAACAACACCACCACCACCAACAACATCACCTACAACAACAACATCACCTACAACAACAACAACATCACCTACAACATCAACAACTAGTACTACAACAACAACATCAACAACATCACCTACAACATCACCTACAACAACAACAACATCAACAACATCATCACCTACAACAACAACATCACCACCAAAAACAACATCACCATCAACAACATCATCACCTACAACAACAACAACATCACCAACAACATCACCTACAACAACAACAACATCAACAACATCATCACCTACAACAACAACATCACCATCAACAACATCACTAACATCAACAACATCACCACCAACAACAACAACACCACCACCAACATCAACATCATCACCACCACCAACATCAACATCATAATCACCTACAACATCACCACCACCACCACTAACATCAACAACAACACCACCACCAACAACAACATCACCACCACCACCAACAACAACACCACCACCAACAACAACATCACCAACAACAACAACAACATCACCTACAACAACAACAACAACATCACCAACAACATCACCTACAACAACAACATCAACAACATCATCACCTACAACAACAACAACATCACCTACAACAACAACATCACCAACAACAACATCACCAACAACATCACCTACAACAACAACAACATCATCACCTACAACAACAACATCAACAACATCAACAACAACATCACCTACAACAACATCAACAACAACATCACCTACAACAACATCACCAACATCAACTACAACATCACCACCACCACCACCACCAACAACAACATCACCACCAAAAACAACATCAACAACATCACTAACAACAACATCATCACCACCACCACCAACAACAACATCACCACCAAAAACAACATCACTAACATCAACAACATCACTAACATCAACAACATCACCACCAACAACAACAACAACACCACCACGAACATCAACATCATCACCACCACCAACATCAACATCATAATCACCTACAACATCACCACCACTAACATCAACAACAACACCACCACCATCAACATCATCACCACCACCAACAACAACATCACTAACAACATCAACATCACCACCACTAACATCAACAACATCACCACCACCAACAACA